CTTCATGCCAGGATCGCCAGGGCCTCCTTCATGCCAGGATCGCCAGGGCCTCCTTCATGCCAGGATCGCCAGGGCCTCCTTCATGCCAGGATCGCCAGGGCCTCCTTCATGCCAGGATCGCCAGGGCCTCCTTCATGCCAGGATCGCCAGGGCCTCCTTCATGCCAGGATCGCCAGGGCCTCCTTCATGCCAGGATCGCCAGGGCCTCCTTCATGCCAGGATCGCCAGGGCCTCCTTCATGCCAGGATCGCCAGGGCCTCCTTCATGCCAGGATCGCCAGGGCCTCCTTCATGCCAGGATCGCCAGGGCCTCCTTCATGCCAGGATCGCCAGGGCCTCCTTCATGCCAGGATCGCCAGGGCCTCCTTCATGCCAGGATCGCCAGGGCCTCCTTCATGCCAGGATCGCCAGGGCCTCCTTCATGCCAGGATCGCCAGGGCCTCCTTCATGCCAGGATCGCCAGGGCCTCCTTCATGCCAGGATCGCCAGGGCCTCCTTCATGCCAGGATCGCCAGGGCCTCCTTCATGCCAGGATCGCCAGGGCCTCCTTCATGCCAGGATCGCCAGGGCCTCCTTCATGCCAGGATCGCCAGGGCCTCCTTCATGCCAGGATCGCCAGGGCCTCCTTCATGCCAGGATCGCCAGGGCCTCCTTCATGCCAGGATCGCCAGGGCCTCCTTCATGCCAGGATCGCCAGGGCCTCCTTCATGCCAGGATCGCCAGGGCCTCCTTCATGCCAGGATCGCCAGGGCCTCCTTCATGCCAGGATCGCCAGGGCCTCCTTCATGCCAGGATCGCCAGGGCCTCCTTCATGCCAGGATCGCCAGGGCCTCCTTCATGCCAGGATCGCCAGGGCCTCCTTCATGCCAGGATCGCCAGGGCCTCCTTCATGCCAGGATCGCCAGGGCCTCCTTCATGCCAGGATCGCCAGGGCCTCCTTCATGCCAGGATCGCCAGGGCCTCCTTCATGCCAGGATCGCCAGGGCCTCCTTCATGCCAGGATCGCCAGGGCCTCCTTCATGCCAGGATCGCCAGGGCCTCCTTCATGCCAGGATCGCCAGGGCCTCCTTCATGCCAGGATCGCCAGGGCCTCCTTCATGCCAGGATCGCCAGGGCCTCCTTCATGCCAGGATCGCCAGGGCCTCCTTCATGCCAGGATCGCCAGGGCCTCCTTCATGCCAGGATCGCCAGGGCCTCCTTCATGCCAGGATCGCCAGGGCCTCCTTCATGCCAGGATCGCCAGGGCCTCCTTCATGCCAGGATCGCCAGGGCCTCCTTCATGCCAGGATCGCCAGGGCCTCCTTCATGCCAGGATCGCCAGGGCCTCCTTCATGCCAGGATCGCCAGGGCCTCCTTCATGCCAGGATCGCCAGGGCCTCCTTCATGCCAGGATCGCCAGGGCCTCCTTCATGCCAGGATCGCCAGGGCCTCCTTCATGCCAGGATCGCCAGGGCCTCCTTCATGCCAGGATCGCCAGGGCCTCCTTCATGCCAGGATCGCCAGGGCCTCCTTCATGCCAGGATCGCCAGGGCCTCCTTCATGCCAGGATCGCCAGGGCCTCCTTCATGCCAGGATCGCCAGGGCCTCCTTCATGCCAGGATCGCCAGGGCCTCCTTCATGCCAGGATCGCCAGGGCCTCCTTCATGCCAGGATCGCCAGGGCCTCCTTCATGCCAGGATCGCCAGGGCCTCCTTCATGCCAGGATCGCCAGGGCCTCCTTCATGCCAGGATCGCCAGGGCCTCCTTCATGCCAGGATCGCCAGGGCCTCCTTCATGCCAGGATCGCCAGGGCCTCCTTCATGCCAGGATCGCCAGGGCCTCCTTCATGCCAGGATCGCCAGGGCCTCCTTCATGCCAGGATCGCCAGGGCCTCCTTCATGCCAGGATCGCCAGGGCCTCCTTCATGCCAGGATCGCCAGGGCCTCCTTCATGCCAGGATCGCCAGGGCCTCCTTCATGCCAGGATCGCCAGGGCCTCCTTCATGCCAGGATCGCCAGGGCCTCCTTCATGCCAGGATCGCCAGGGCCTCCTTCATGCCAGGATCGCCAGGGCCTCCTTCATGCCAGGATCGCCAGGGCCTCCTTCATGCCAGGATCGCCAGGGCCTCCTTCATGCCAGGATCGCCAGGGCCTCCTTCATGCCAGGATCGCCAGGGCCTCCTTCATGCCAGGATCGCCAGGGCCTCCTTCATGCCAGGATCGCCAGGGCCTCCTTCATGCCAGGATCGCCAGGGCCTCCTTCATGCCAGGATCGCCAGGGCCTCCTTCATGCCAGGATCGCCAGGGCCTCCTTCATGCCAGGATCGCCAGGGCCTCCTTCATGCCAGGATCGCCAGGGCCTCCTTCATGCCAGGATCGCCAGGGCCTCCTTCATGCCAGGATCGCCAGGGCCTCCTTCATGCCAGGATCGCCAGGGCCTCCTTCATGCCAGGATCGCCAGGGCCTCCTTCATGCCAGGATCGCCAGGGCCTCCTTCATGCCAGGATCGCCAGGGCCTCCTTCATGCCAGGATCGCCAGGGCCTCCTTCATGCCAGGATCGCCAGGGCCTCCTTCATGCCAGGATCGCCAGGGCCTCCTTCATGCCAGGATCGCCAGGGCCTCCTTCATGCCAGGATCGCCAGGGCCTCCTTCATGCCAGGATCGCCAGGGCCTCCTTCATGCCAGGATCGCCAGGGCCTCCTTCATGCCAGGATCGCCAGGGCCTCCTTCATGCCAGGATCGCCAGGGCCTCCTTCATGCCAGGATCGCCAGGGCCTCCTTCATGCCAGGATCGCCAGGGCCTCCTTCATGCCAGGATCGCCAGGGCCTCCTTCATGCCAGGATCGCCAGGGCCTCCTTCATGCCAGGATCGCCAGGGCCTCCTTCATGCCAGGATCGCCAGGGCCTCCTTCATGCCAGGATCGCCAGGGCCTCCTTCATGCCAGGATCGCCAGGGCCTCCTTCATGCCAGGATCGCCAGGGCCTCCTTCATGCCAGGATCGCCAGGGCCTCCTTCATGCCAGGATCGCCAGGGCCTCCTTCATGCCAGGATCGCCAGGGCCTCCTTCATGCCAGGATCGCCAGGGCCTCCTTCATGCCAGGATCGCCAGGGCCTCCTTCATGCCAGGATCGCCAGGGCCTCCTTCATGCCAGGATCGCCAGGGCCTCCTTCATGCCAGGATCGCCAGGGCCTCCTTCATGCCAGGATCGCCAGGGCCTCCTTCATGCCAGGATCGCCAGGGCCTCCTTCATGCCAGGATCGCCAGGGCCTCCTTCATGCCAGGATCGCCAGGGCCTCCTTCATGCCAGGATCGCCAGGGCCTCCTTCATGCCAGGATCGCCAGGGCCTCCTTCATGCCAGGATCGCCAGGGCCTCCTTCATGCCAGGATCGCCAGGGCCTCCTTCATGCCAGGATCGCCAGGGCCTCCTTCATGCCAGGATCGCCAGGGCCTCCTTCATGCCAGGATCGCCAGGGCCTCCTTCATGCCAGGATCGCCAGGGCCTCCTTCATGCCAGGATCGCCAGGGCCTCCTTCATGCCAGGATCGCCAGGGCCTCCTTCATGCCAGGATCGCCAGGGCCTCCTTCATGCCAGGATCGCCAGGGCCTCCTTCATGCCAGGATCGCCAGGGCCTCCTTCATGCCAGGATCGCCAGGGCCTCCTTCATGCCAGGATCGCCAGGGCCTCCTTCATGCCAGGATCGCCAGGGCCTCCTTCATGCCAGGATCGCCAGGGCCTCCTTCATGCCAGGATCGCCAGGGCCTCCTTCATGCCAGGATCGCCAGGGCCTCCTTCATGCCAGGATCGCCAGGGCCTCCTTCATGCCAGGATCGCCAGGGCCTCCTTCATGCCAGGATCGCCAGGGCCTCCTTCATGCCAGGATCGCCAGGGCCTCCTTCATGCCAGGATCGCCAGGGCCTCCTTCATGCCAGGATCGCCAGGGCCTCCTTCATGCCAGGATCGCCAGGGCCTCCTTCATGCCAGGATCGCCAGGGCCTCCTTCATGCCAGGATCGCCAGGGCCTCCTTCATGCCAGGATCGCCAGGGCCTCCTTCATGCCAGGATCGCCAGGGCCTCCTTCATGCCAGGATCGCCAGGGCCTCCTTCATGCCAGGATCGCCAGGGCCTCCTTCATGCCAGGATCGCCAGGGCCTCCTTCATGCCAGGATCGCCAGGGCCTCCTTCATGCCAGGATCGCCAGGGCCTCCTTCATGCCAGGATCGCCAGGGCCTCCTTCATGCCAGGATCGCCAGGGCCTCCTTCATGCCAGGATCGCCAGGGCCTCCTTCATGCCAGGATCGCCAGGGCCTCCTTCATGCCAGGATCGCCAGGGCCTCCTTCATGCCAGGATCACCAGTGCCTCCTTCATGCCAGGATCAGCAGGTTCACCACAGCTGTAGTGTCAAGGTTGCCTACCTTTTCTAATGGATCATCATCCTTGTGGGTCGGGGCCGTGGCTGTGCTGCCATTGACTTCAATGCACTGCCACGCCCCCCTCCTACCCCAGAACGCATGGGGGAGTTTACTATGCGATGCAGTGCGTTGCAGCAGCTAACTGTGCTAGGATGCACTGCATATGGTGTGAACAAGCCCTCAAGGCAAAATAGTGACTGTCCAGCCCTGATACATTGGAATACTAACCCATGTGACATTATAGGGATGTCCTTCGCTAGATGAAGGTGAGGATCATAGGAAATACATACTTCTTCCCTATGCTCCTTAGCTCCACCTAGTAGCCGTAATAGAAATAAATTCTTATCCCCTATGCTCCTCAGCTCCACCTAGTGGCCATAATAGAAATAAATACTTATCCCCTATGCTCCTCAGCACCATCTAGTGGCCGTAATAGAAATAAATACTTATCCCCTATGCTCCTCAGCTCCACCTAGTGGCCATAATAGAAATAAATACTTATCCCCTATGCTCCTCAGCTCCATCTAGTGGCCATAATAGAAATAAATACTTATCCCCTATGCTCCTCAGCTCCACCTAGTGGCCGTAATAGAAATACATTCTTATCCCCTATGCTCCTCAGCTCCACCTAGTGGCCACAATAGAAATACATACTTCTCCCCTATGCTCCTCAGCGCCACCTACTGGCCATAATAGAAATAAGTACTTATCCCCTATGCTCCTCAGCTCCACCTAGTGGCCATAATAGAAATACATACTTCTCCCCTATGCTCCTCAGCGCCACCTACTGGCCATAATAGAAATAAGTACTTATACCCTATGCTCCTCAGCTCCACCTAGTGGCCGTAATAAAAATAAATACTTATCCCCTATGCTCCTCAGCTCCACCTAGTGGCCATAATAGAAATACATACTTATCCCCTATGCTCCTCAGCTCCACCTAGTGGCCGTAATAGAAATAAATACTTATCCCCTATGCTCCTCAGCTCCACCTAGTGGCCGTAATAGAAATAAATTCTTATCCCCTATGCTCCTCAGCTCCACCTAGTGGCCACAATAGAAATACATACTTCTCCCCTATGCTCCTCAGCGCCACCTACTGGCCATAATAGAAATAAGTACTTATCCCCTATGCTCCTCAGCTCCACCTAGTGGCCATAATAGAAATAAATACTTATCCCCTATGCTCCTCAGCTCCACCTAGTGGCCGTAATAGAAATAAATTCTTATCCCCTATGCTCCTCAGCTCCACCTAGTGGTCGTAATAGAAATACATTCTTATCCCCTATACTCCTCAGCTCCACCTAGTGGCCACAATAGAAATAAATACTTATCCCCTATGCTCCTCAGCTCCACCTAGTGGCCGTAATAGAAATAAATTCTTATCCCCTATGCTCCTCAGCTCCACCTGGTGGCCAGAATAGAAATACATACTTCTCCCCTATGCTCCTCAGCACCATCTAGTGGCCGTAATGTAGTATTACACCACAATACATTCAAACTGGGAGAAAACTAGATGAAGAACCTTTGATTTTGGCATTATTCACCTGAAACGAACACTGACAAATATCTTTAGGATGAAGGTCCCTGTAAATTATTTTATAATTAGACCCCCTATGTGCCCACAGTAAAAAACAGTATCTACTGCAGTGCTGGTGACTTTTATTTGATTCTGATCCAGCATGGTGCCATCCAAGGTGACCTCTTTAAGCACCCTCATGGTTACATCGGTCTAGAACTGTAAGGTTGGTGCAGCTCAGAAGTAGATTTGTTTTCCCGTGATCAGAGCTACTTTGTGTAAACCGGTACAAGATGTTCCATGACGGCACGTCAACAGAACCGGGTGGGGTAAATGAGGTCTAGCACCGGGATGCGCTCCTCTAGACGTCTCATTCTCCTCCATGGCCACCATCTGCTCCAAATTTGTGGAGCTCAGAAGCGAGCGCTAATAGTTTAATTAACAATAAAAAAAGAGGCTGGTGGGCGGCTCTGGAGGAAGAACACAGCCATCCATCATTCCTTCCCTACAGAGACCATTACAGTTCTTGATAGTCATTTCTGCTGTCTGCTCCGATGCCAAGTTCAAAGATCGAGCCGCCGAATGGCAACTCGCTCCGTGGCCGGTGGTGCCCTTCACCGGAGGAGGGAGCGTGGCTAATGGCATCATAAAAACCTGGCGGTTAGAACTCGAAGTTTCCGGGTTACGTTGCAATGTTATCTATTGCCAATCACGATCCATCCAAATATTTAAAGAGGATCTTCAGTCATATATTTAAAGGGAATGTGTCATGAGAGGAATACACAGGCTGCCATTGCTTCTGAAAAATGCCAGTTTCTTGGCTGTCTCTGGCTCCACTAATTGCTGAGCAAGGCAGAACTTACAAAGGGCTATGCTTACTCCTGCCCGTCATCACGTGACAGCACTCGGGACTGGTGATTGGCTGCTTAAATACCATGAACTGCATTATAGAGGAGCAAGAGTATTGATAAGTGTTACCCCATACTCAGGTATACCAGTCATTTTGTGGTCAAGGTGAACACTGGCTGCTTAAAGGAGAACTATGGGGGTTAAGGCTTTTCCACATAGTTCTCCTTAGGGTAACGGGAGGACACAAACTAGCGTCCTCCCGTCACCCTAGGCTCAGTATACCGCGAGCTGTAGCTTGCGGTATACTGAGACGCCGCAGCTGAAGCGGATCCCAACAATTGTGCCGGGATCCGCCCAGCTGCGTGACTGACAGCTGGCTCTGCCTATCTAGAGGCAGAGCCAGCTGTACCCGCCCCCTCCCCCGTCCGTTCCGCCAGTCGGCGATGGCGGATCGGAGCGGGGAGGGGGGAATCCAGCCACTCCCCTGTCACGGCAGAGAGCCGTGACAGGATCGAGAGGTGAGCGAACACCGGTATGTGTTCGCTCACCTCCCGATCTACTGAGCCGACCTGTGACAGTCTCATTGTCACAGGTCGGCTAGAACTATGAGGTGAGTGAAAAGCACTCACCTCATAGTTCTCCTTTAAGGCCTCATTCACACGACTAACAGCCGGCCCGTACAGATCTGCGTGGCATGCACGGCCGTATCGGGCCACTCCCGGGAAGGACAGGTGCTGCGTGTGATTTTTACGCAGCAGCCTGTTCTTCTCTAAGGGAGGACGCCGCCCTATACTCACCCGAACTGCACGTCTGTGCGGGTATCCCTGCTCAGATGCAGACAGGATCCATCCTGTCTACGTACGAGTATGGACACCCGGACCCGCACGGACGCGCAGTTCGGGTGAGCCTACAGCGGCGTCCTCCCTTAGAGAAGAACAGGCTGCTGCGGCTGTTAGTCGTGTGAATGAGGCCTAAAGCTGAATTCCAGGAAAACATCTAAATACACAGATGGAGGTATCTGCTTTCCCTGCCCAAGTGTTTGTATGTCTGTCCATCCAATCCTGAGATTTACAGAGCTCTGCCACACAGCACAGCCAGGAAACCACTTTCTCAGCTACAGCTAAGAAAGGCAATAGTGTCATCTCCCCGCCTCCAGCCTACTGGACAGAGAAGAACCAGCAGAAGACTGATGAGGCAATCTGTCTGCTCTCTCCTCTCATCAACATGTGCATGCAAATCACCTGATTGGTTCCTTGTCCTGCGTCTCGCTCCACCAGACTGAGCTCTGCTGTACAGGGAAGCCGATGCCAGGTTATATTTAGGTACTTCCCCTGCTTGAATTTAGTAAAATACATGTAATATTTTATTGAAGAATACAGAGCTGCAATAAAGTGCAACTGAAGCCCAAACGTTTTTTTTTCTTCCAGTTTTGGATAGAGTGGAGAGGGATTAGAACCACGGTCAGGTTTTTACTGCTGTAACCTCATAACTCCAAGACCATGGGACCCAGGTGATGGACACTGTCAACAGCCAATGGGCAGTGCCCACATCCCCAGCAAGAGGCGGGGACACTGCAAGATGGACCCTCCCACCCTGCCGAGTAGAAGACAGAAGAATCAGACCTGGCCTGTCACGTGACCACCGTTTCAGGTAGGTATTTGGCATCTTAAATGTCGTTTTTTTAAAGAATTTACATTTGCAATCAGCTAGCTGAAACCCAGGCACAAGATGTCACAAGGTGGACAGGGGCAACCACAGGGTCCTGGTGTTCCAATATGAGTGCATGGAGGAAGCAAGGGACATAGGAGGAAGCTGGAACTCGGGAAGTAAGGAGGTGTCTAAAGTACAGGGTGCAGATAAGTCTTAAAGGGCACAGGGTTTCTGCTTCAGGCAGATGTGTTGCTCGCTATCTCTCCTCACGCTCTCTCCCCTGGCTGTCTCTCCTCTCTCTCCTGGCTGTCTCTCCTCGCTCTCTCTCTCCTGGCTGTCTCTCCTCACTCTCCCCTTGCTTTATCTCCTCTCTCTCTTCCCTGGCTGTCTCTCCTCTCTCTCTCTCTCCTGGCTGTCTCTCCTCGCTCTCTCTCTCCTGGCTGTCTCTCCTCGCTCTCTCTCTCCTGGCTGTCTCTCCTCGCTCTCTCTCTCCTGGCTGTCTCTCCTCACTCTCCCCTTGCTTTATCTCCTCTCTCTCTTCCCTGGCTGTCTCTCCTCTCTCTCCCCTGGCTGTCTCTCCTCTCTCTCTCCTGACTGTCTCTCTTCTCTCTCTCTCTCCTGGCTGTCTCTCCTTTCTTTCTTCCCTGGCTGTCTCTCCTTTCTTTCTTCCCTGGCTGTCTCTCCTTTCTTTCTTCCCTGGCTGTCTCTCCTTTCTTTCTTCCCTGGCTGTCTCTCCTCTCTCTTCCCTGGCTATCTCTCCTCGCTCTCCCCTAGGTGTCTCTATTCTTTTTCCCCTGGCTGTCTCTCCTCACTCGCTCTCCTGGCTGTCTCTCCTCACTCTCTTCCCTGGCTTTCTCTCCTCTCTCTCTTCCCTGGGTATCATCGCTCTCCCCAGGGTAGCTCTCTTCTCTTTTCCCTGGCTGTCTCTCCTCGCTCTCTCCCCTGGCTGTCTCTCCTCTCTCCCCTTGCTCTCTCTCTCCCCTTGCAGTATCTCCTCTCTCTCTTCCCTGGCTGTATCTCCTCTCTCTCTCTTCCCTGGCTGTATCTCCTCTCTCTCTCTTCCCTGGCTGTATCTCCTCTCTCTCTCTTCCCTGGCTGTATCTCCTCTCTCTCTCTCCCCTGGCTGTCTCTCCTCTCTCTCTTTCCCCTAGCTGTCTCTCCTCGCTCTCTCTCCTGGCTGTCTCTCCTCACTCTCTCTCCTGTATGTTCTCCCAAAAAATTGACACAAGGTGCTAGAGTGTTTGGGTTTTGCTTGATGAAAAGGTGGCAACCCTAAATCCCATCGCGGCTCCCTGGTTACAATATAACTGAAGGATTCGGGTTGCTACAAGTGAGTATATTTGAGATCATGTAAATCCTTTATCTGGAACACATATTCCTCCTCCCCCCCCCCCC